AAAAAAACTTGGTTAAAATTCTGATTTTCTAAAAGGAAAAATAACAATTAAAACTCATAAAAATATTAATAACAATTACATATTATGAATTATTGAAATCTCAATAATAGATCATGATCTTTACATGCAATTAAAAAATATAAATAATCACTTGAAAATTTTATTAAATATACTTAAAATTATTTGTAATGCTAATTGAGAATTTACAATAACTACTTGGAAAATCAAGTAAAAATATTTATGATTATTTATAATATCAATTGAGAATTTATAAGAGTCAATTGTGAATTATAAGTCAATTATTTTATTTAAGAGTATTATATTATACATTAGTTGTAGTTTTGTATTATAAAAGGAGTCTCACGTTGTTTAAGAGTGTAAATGTTAAGAAGATGAGTAAAGTTTACGTCCATAACAACGGGTTAACGAAGTTGAAATTTAGCCATTTCTCTTGTGCGTGAGTTAGATAAAGCGTTGGCAGCTTTTTGCTTGAAATATTTTTTGCAAAATTCAAAAATATTTTTTAATATGATTTATTCAAAATCCTTTTTTTACCAGTTTCAAATTTGAGAAATACAAATTGTAAAACTTGGGGGTTTTAAATATGATTATTATTTTATTCTAATTACTGGCAATAGTCTCGTTTGAAACTGGTGTTCAGAAATGCTTCTGATTAAACAAATTTAATCTGATTATGACCCATTTGTTTTCTATCAAAAAATAAGTTATTTTTTAGATAGTTTAAAAATTTTATAAAAAATATTTATTTTGTAGAGATTTATAAAAAGTATTTATTATTTTATATTTAATTAAAATACTAAAATTAATTATTATTTGATTATTTTTATATTTTATGATATTTTCATAAATATTTTATTTATAAAAAATGATTTGTATTTAGCTATTTTAAAATTTTATAATATCTTCATATATTTCTACAATTTTATAACATTTTCTCTCGTGATCTCATCAGTATTAGATTAATTTTCGAAATTATTAAAAGTATCTTATCAAAATAATAAGAAATATATATTGTTAAATTATAATTAATCCCCAAATTTAAACAAATATAATAAAATTTTATGACATAAGTTTTTAAAAAAAATAATAATTTTTTTATGAAGAAAGCTCAAACACATGGCCTTCGATGTTGAGACCTACTTGGCTCTCATGAAATTATTATGAAAATTAATATCTAATAAAAAAATATTTTTTTAATAATATATGAAATTAATTATGAATACTTCTTAAATTTATCATTTCCTCTCAAAAATTATTATAAATTTGAAAAAAAAATATGTTTGTGATAAAATCTAAATTTGGCATCAATCCCAATTATTTGCATCATAGTCTTAATTTTAGCCTAAATCCACCAAAATCTTCTAGAAGTGAGATGGTTGTAGAAGGACTTGGTCAAGCAACTAGAGAAGAAAGTTTTGGAGATAACTGCAAATAATGACACTAAAAAAAGTATCAAACCATGTGAAAAATGTCACTTTGTGCTTATAAAAGAAGAAAGCTACAACACGTATGAGACTAGAGTCGGGAATAAGGGCCGGGCTTGGAGGGCCAGGCTTAAAAGCCCTGTTTAAATAAGAGTTCGGGTTTTAAAAATAATTTTTTTTAAAGTAATCGGGCTTGAAGGCTTGGCCCTGATAAGTCCTGTAAAATAGGGTTCGGGCTCGGGCTGTCCTTTAAGCCCTGTTATATTATTTTTATTATTATTTTTTTAGTAAAACACGTGGTTGAAATCAATGACCTGCTCACCTAATCCTACACACATTATATTATTATTAGTTTTAATTTATTCTAAAATTAATTTAATCTAATTTAATAAATATCAGTGTATAATATAAAATTTATGATATTTTTTATTTTTCTATAATTATTATGTTTGTATATTTATAAAAAAAAATGAACTATTTTTTAAATGAAGATTTAAATTTTATTACTAGACTTCTAATGTATGTTATTTAATTTTTAAAAAATTATGATAATTTTAATTTTTTTTAATTTTAAAATATTTTAATTTATTTATAATGTTTAATTTTATTTTAATTTTTTTATTTTTTAAGAAAGGGCTTACAAGCCTAGCCCTGAACCCTGAGTATAAGAGCCGGGCTTGAAAAATGGGGGTCAAAATGGAAAACCGAGCTTTAGGGCTCAGGCCCTAAAGGGCCGAGCCCATAAGGGCCAGGCTTTTATGAGCCGAGCCCGTCCGTATTCCCAACTCTATATGAGACCTCTCCAATCTGTCCAACAATTCCAACAATCAATTCAATAACACTTAAATAAATTCAAAACCTGATTTGATCAAATTAGACACTTCCTCTTTCAACAAATTAAACATAGTTTCATAATGAGTTCTCCAACAATAAGTAGAGTGCAGAGCTCTCGATAGGACAATAGCAACAATGCTCAAACGCTTTTTTTTTTTAGTTTTTCATCTTATATTTTCTGTAATGTTTTTCTATCATTATCAATATAATGCCTGCTCTTACCGTGCAAGTTTTTCATTTTTCTCCATCCTTATTTCTTTTCTTTTATTTCTAAGCACTTGCATTTAAGAAAATTGTGGTAAAAAGCCCAATCAAAAACTCACCATTTGATTTAAAAGTTAGGTATATCATACCATTTGAAGACACATTCATCTAGCAAACTTGCGCACCGTAAATAAATTATAATATATTTTTCATAACTACATAAATTTTTTGAATGCATTTATTATGTTTAAAATAAAATAACATATTTTTGAAAAATTATATTTATTATTATTTTTAAGATTATTTCTTTTCATCTGTTGATATAATATAATAAATGATTAAATATCAATTTGTACCTATTAATTTACTATTTTTTGGCCAACTAAACAAAAAACACTTACTTTCAACTTTCAAGCGCAGGAATTGCCATCACCACCGTTGATCGTTCTAGTCTAAAGGCTCATATTCTCAGCCTTCCATCTCTCTATCTCAGTTGTGACTCCGTATCACTTTTACATTTTGCACCTTCTCCTGTTTCAATTCACTTCCTCCCTCTATCACGCCCTCCTTTGCTCTCTCCTTCAAATCTTGCTCCGCCGATCTCACATGACAAAGAATGAAGCTTGCCAGTTTCTATGTCGACTCCTTCAACACCACCTGGACTTCCACTACTATTAACGAGTTCTAACTCAAGTCTTGCATCTTCCAATTAATGAGTTTGACAAGATTGTACAAGGCACACCGTTTGTTTGTAGTTGTAGGTACTGGTTATGAGAACCTTCTATTCTACCTTGTCCCAACCTTTTAATCTCAATGTACACTCAAATGGAAGGGCCTTAATAGCTTGCATGGGAACTTTATTTGGAATTAGTGTCTTGGAACTTGGAAGTTTGAGATGTTGTGTTAAGAGCTGGAAGCCTCCAAAGATGGCGGGTTCACAAATGAGAAACTGAAAAAAGTTAAGTGTTGTTTATCATTGTTAGAAGTGAAAATTATTGGTTGATTCGACTTTAGATCGTGTATTGATGATTATTGATATTTACATGCAATTTTTTTTAAAAAAAGGGCCCCACCACCTTACAAGTAGGAAATTTTAAAAAAATGGGCCCCACCGTTTGCAAATCTGGATTTTACCACATATGTAGATATATATTCAGATATTTGGCAAAAAAAAAAAAAAAACACAAGAAGAAAGATATATAGGCAGATTGATGTGGATAGATACATGTACAAGTTACATCTATTGAAATATGTTAATTTTAGATTCAAGAACGCGACATATTTTAGTTTCCAATAATATTTAATAAAATTTATTTATTGAAATATTGAATATCAAGTCTTTAATCAATTACTTATAATACTTTTAACATATTTTATGAAAATACGAGAATTTAAATCTAATTTCATCTGTTCTTTAATCAAATTTTTATTTTGTAATTTTTAAATTTAATAAAACAAAAAATAAACACTTATATTAGCATCTTATATACTCTGAGAATATATATTAAAAAATATAACATATTTTAAATTTTTAATTTATAATTAATGAATTTTAAATAAAAAGGATTAATGATTACTCTAAACCCTGAAGTATTACATGAAAAATAACATAAATCTTGAACTTATAAAATATACAAAATGAACCATAAACTTATACATTCATTGCAAATGACCCCTATTGTTAACTTATACTTAACTCCATTATTATTCACTTAATAGGGCTCAATTAAAATGCAAATGTGGCAGTTATTTACTCATGTGTCATTTGCTAATGTGCTAATTTGTTCTAAATTTTAAAGTTTAGGATTTAAGAGTCACGTAATAGTGTAAAATCTCTAGTGCTTATTAAAAAATGACACATTAGCAAAAGGCTGCTACATGAGTATTTTGAATGGGTTTTACTAAGTGAACAATAACGACATTAAGTATAAGTTAACTATGAGTGTAATTTGTTATGAATTTAAAAATTTAGAGTCCATTTCATACATTTTAAAAGTTAGGGTTTAACGCGCTTTTCGCATAATACTTGAGGTCAGAATGCTCATAAATTTCAAACACTTAATCATTTATCTTTAAATAAAACATTATATTAAGTAAGGATAAATATGAAAAGATAATGTAAACTTAAAAATAATTAATTAACTTATTAAAAATTATAATTTAATTAAAAGTACATTATATTTTTGAATGGAAGGAGAGAAAGTGTGTGTTTGCCACCATTCACCATTGAAAAAAAGAAATAAAAAAATCTTCACGTATACTTTATCTTGTATTTATCATAGAACACCATCTAAAATATTTTTTTAATCTTTAATTGGGGTATTAATTATGTTTTTACTCGTATAATATTATTTTTATTTAAATTCATGAATTATTAGAATGCAATAAAAGTTTGATTTTTTTTTTTAAATCTAAGTAGAGATAGAATTAAAAACTTATTTTTTTTAGATAAAATTAATACTTAACCAAGTAACTCGTTGGACACAGTAACATTTATTCTTCCCTTATCCGTTCAATTTCAATGTTAAGCTGAGGTCAAATAAAAGCATGCGTTTTCACCCTCTTCCATCAACAAGGATTTCGAGAGAATATGGTTAATTGTATGGTGCACAGTCTCGGTACGTGTTGCCCACCGAGGAGACTCTTGTTCTCACCATCTCTTTTCTCATTTACTTTACGGTACCGGTGTATCGTGTTCCCGGCGCCTGCAGTCTCTGGAACTTACAAGAAGGAGACCAAAGAGAAGGTCATTGTGATTTCTGGACCCACTGGCGCTGGTAAAAGTCGGCTTGCATTCGAACTTACGAAGCGACTCAATGGCGAAATTGTCAGTGCCGACTCGGTCCAGGTTAGCTGAAAGAAGTGGGTTAGAGGACGAAGTAGAAACATTTTTGTGTAAATTGCAGCTTGTTTATTTCGTCATGTAAGGAAGCCAGTATAATATTTAGCGTGATTTTTGGGTTTAAGAAGGGAAGAGTTGATAGTTTTGGGTAGTATTGCCTGCTGTTTAGGGTTGGGTAATGTGAAAGATGAATGTTATGCTCCCTACCTTATCTCTCTGTGCCTTTGTGGATGTGTTGGCTCTTGGAAAATGGGAAACTATTCTACCACTTAAGAATAATAAGAGGTCATTTGGGTTCCTTCACATAAGAAAGAAATTTGGTATTGTGGGCGCCAACTTATGATTGTTTTTCTCCATTTCATCGATGAAAGATTAACTTAACTATTTATCCCCCAGTATTCTTTAGTTTTCTGATAAAATTCAGGATTTGAAAGAGAAAAAATTTATTGGGTGAAAAATATTAGAGTTATATACGCGATTATTTCCTTATATTGCACTACTGCAGTGTATTATAGTGGTGACTGAAAAGTGAGAAAATAGTTTTGCCTTTTGACTCTCAAAATGGTATATGATTTAATTTTCAGGAGTAAATCATGGAAACCAATCGTATCTAAATAACTGCAGTCTTCCCTTTTACTAGTAATAGTACGGGTGTAGATGTTTCCTTTAGCCTATATCTATTCAAGATTACTTGTATTTCAGGTGTACCAAGGTCTTGATGTTGGATCCGCTAAACCTTCCCCAAATGATAGAAAGGTGCATAGTTTTAGACATAGAATATTCCACGGTTTCTTGAAGTTGCCATATAGAGTATCTATTGTAAATTTTTAGTTTTTCCATGTCATTCAATTAATCAAATTGCCTGGGGCATTTTGTGTGGGTTTAAGTTTTAGAATTCTTGACACCTTTTCCCCCCTTTCTTTTTAGTAATGGAACTTTGGTTTCTGTTTCACTCGTCAAAATTTGCCTTTGGGGAGACTTTTTGATATTATGTTGTTGGTGATTTCAACAGTCCTTGGCATTGAAATTAAAATTTTAACTATGCTTTTCTCCAAGCTTGAAACGGTAAATCATTGATTAAAAGAAACAAAAAAGAACATACACTTTTTGTTATAACATATGACATGATCCTCAGGATTTTTTTTTCTTTCTGTTATTCTGTATAATATGCATTCTCAGCGTTCACATTATGTATCAGTGAAATTTCAAATGTGGAATGGTGCCAATTTCATGACAATGAAATGCATTTTATATAAACACATCCATTTTGTCTATCATTCAATAACTGGAAATCTCAAACTTCATTTGTAGATTTTTATTCTTCTTCTTCTTGTTTTTTTTTTTTGGTTGATTATTCTTGTCAGGAGGTAAAACATCATCTGATTGACATATTGCATCCATCTAAAGGTATGTTCTTAAGTTCTTTGTTGGGCTGGCTATCTTTGCTTCAACATATATTCCTAGAAGATGTTATTCACTTGGCAATAAAATTGAGGTGTAAAAGACATACTGTTATTTATCAGACTATTCAGCTGGAAATTTTTTTGAGGATGCAAGGCAAGCTACAAGATGTATCCTTGACAATGATCGTGTTCCCATAGTTGTTGGGGGAACTGGGCTGTACTTAAGATGGTAAGTCTTGTTTTTCCGACTGAATTCCTCAGTTTAAGCAACTATGCAGGAAACATAGTCCATGTTTCTCATCGTCAAATTCTAATAATGCAGTTATTTATATGTTAATTTGGTTTGAAAGCTATTTGTTTCTAATATTTCCAAAATGGTTTTTGTTTTAATTTAATCAAAGCCAAATGGATAATATGCTTCAGTTCATAGTTCTCTTGAGTGTGCTTTAGAATTGAATGTGAAGTGTTCACTACTGAAGTTTCCTTGTATAGTTATCTCTGCTTGAAACAAATACTTAGGATAAAAGATTTTTCATGAATCAGCACCATAATAACAGAATAATATGTAAAGTGAAGGAAAACAAAATTGTAAGTAAATAAAAGGGATGGGAAGCACAGTTGAATGCTTGTATTAGTATGTAGATGTTCGAGAATCAGTGCAAATTAGGTGTTGGGTAATGCATAACTTATGTGCTCAAGAGATGAGTATTGTTCTCTTGGAAGTTACTATCTTAAATTGGTTGACCAGTATTTGTTTTTGTTTTATAGACATACTGGGCTAATTAGCTTTAGCAAACAAAAGCCTATTATTTTGCCTTTTGTCCACAAAAGTTGCTATTCGGATAATTGCTGCTGCGTTGGCATCAAGTATATTATTATCACTGTATTATTTCACATGGCTCTCAATTTAGTTCACAGTAAGCTGTTAAAATCAGCTTTTGTGGCACAAAAATATCTATATGTTCTGTTGTTTGAGCTTCAAAATATCAGGTTCATATATGGAAAACCAGATGTTCCCAAAGCCTCTCCTGATGTCAAATCTGAATTATATTCAGAGTTAGCTGAGCTGCAGAAAAATGAAGATTGGGATGCTGCTGTGCAGTTGGTGGTAAATGCAGGAGACCTGAAGGCCCAAACTTTAGCAGTGAATGATTGGTATCGATTACAGCGCAGCCTAGAGATTATCAAAGTAAGCTAAATTTTTTTTAACATGAACAAATCTAAATGGATCTGCCTTGCATAGCAACCATGCAAATTTCAAACCTCAGCTGAAGAACGAAAAAAGTGCTCTTTGGACCTATTATCTACTCCCCTTGGTCCTTGCTATAGGACACTTTCAACCGTTTTACATACCTTAAAAAAAAATAAAAATTCTCGCAATAGTATAAAAAAATGAGATATGCTTTCTTTTTTACCTTTAATTTTAAATAATGATACAACTATATTAAATACTTTCACGCTAATCAAAAAAGGGTAAAATTGAAAAAAATAGTTTAATTATTACAAAATGTCCTACATTTGGATCAAAAATTACTTGTAAAAAGTGTATTACAAATAGAACTGGAGGGAGTATCATGGAAGGAAAGGATTCCCTTTCTTGTTCTTTGCAATGTTTACTATATTCTTATGATTATTACTCAAGAGTTTCTTTCCCTTGTTATTATTTTTTTAAAGTTCGGACACGGTTAATTCTTCATCCTCAAAATCATTTTTTTTAATTTCAAGTTTCATCCCATTCTATAAAATTTTGGGTACCAAACTTGCTGCTAATCTTATATATTCCCTTGGCCTGCCTATCTCTCTTGCTCATTCATTGTGCACGGAAGCAAATATGAGGACAATGCAGCTACATTGTGAGCACGAATGAGTATATGAAAACAGTTTCTTATTGTAGTTCCATTGCCATTAAATCTTTCCAAAATTATTAGCTTTAACTATTGTTCATTATTAATAAACTAATCATAGTTCTATGTTCTGCAGGGATATATTTGTCATCTCTATATTTTCAGAGGTTTAGATTATTAAGTTGTCTGGGATATATTTACAATATGTTTTCATCATTCGTTTATATTCTTTTGGAATGGCAGTCTAGTGGATCACCTCCATCAGCTTTTCGGGTGCCATATGATTCTTTCAGGGGACAGGGGGGTTATAGTGATACCAATGGTTTTGAATCTTCTGATGTCAACATTTCTGGTGATTCAATGGAAGATCCCATGTTCTCAGATTTGCCTTATGAGTTCATCTGCTTTTTCCTTTCTCGTCAGAGACTTGAACTATATAAAAGAATTGACCAGCGGTGTGAAGATATGCTATTAGGTATGTGTTTATGTGTTTTGTGGGCCAGAAACACACTATCTGTCGTTCAATTAGGACATGTTTCTAGTAAAGTCCCTTTATATGTTTGCTTTCAAGACCTCCAATAAAAATATGATTGTGAAGAAAAAATTATAATTATCTAATTATGTGGTGCTAAGTTGTAAAATGATCTGCCTGGTATGTTTTTGATGGAAAATATGATAGAAAATATATGAAAAGTTTATTATGCTTCCCATATATTTTGTAGTATATTCTTCTCTATGGTTTCCCTTAAGCAGCATTTCCTTTATTGGATAGTAATTGGCTTCCTGTGGGAGTTAATCAGTTAAATAAGTCTTGGTAAATGACTAGTTATTGTTAGCATTTCATTTGTATGCAACTGTGCATGCTTTAAACTAACATCGTATGACACATTCTTCCTTGGTGTTAAGTACCTTTTTTTAAACTGCAGGAAGGGATGGGATTCTTTCTGAGGCTCAATGGCTTCTAAAGTTGGGTCTTCATCCAAATTCCAATTCTGCAACACGAGCAATTGGTTATAGACAAGTAAATCGTTTTCTTTTGTCTATTTTCATTCAAATTTTACTATCTGCAGATGATAACTAATAGATTATCGTGCTGATGATATTTGCAATATTTTTTTGGAGTATTTTTTTGTCATTTGATCATTGTGACGGCTATATAAGTTGTTGGATATTCTACTTATATTTCACTGTATTATTTCAGGCTATGGAATACTTACTCAGATGCCAACAACATGGGGGACAGAGTTCAGCTGAAGAATTTTACAATTTTTTATCTGAATTTCAAAAAGAAACTAGGTAATACTTTTTGTTCAATCTGTACAGTTTAATCTTTATTCAGTGGGATTGGCCTAATAAATGTCGGAATAGGATAACCTCAAGTCAGGGATGATGAAGTTTTGTGAAGTGTGCTGTTTTTAGCATTTTTCCATAGGTTTGGGAACTTGACTTTTGATTTGACAGATGAACCTAAATATACAATTTTTCAATCTTCCCATGATAAGTTTTTTTCAATCATTTAAATATCATAGAACAACAGGTATCATACAAGTTTTTACATCCTATGAATAGTATTTTGGATGAGCTTTTTGTTTGCTTGGTTTAATATCTTGTGCTTTGGTTTAATAGACTCCATTCTCAACCCTCATGAATTATAAGTCATGCATGGCAGCTTGTGTTTGGGGAGCATATATTTGTTTACTTTCCCAGAGCTTAGTTGGATTTTCATCTTGATCTGCTTGAGATAGATTGTTGCTGGATTACCTTACCCAATGATGAGATATATGTATGTGTGGCTTGTATTTTTTTCCCCCTCTTAAATCATTATGCAGGAATTTTGCAAAAAGACAATTGACGTGGTTTCGCAATGAGCAGATATACCACTGGCTTGATGCTTCCAAACCACTGGTAATAAAACCTCGTTGCCATTGGCTTTTACACTATAATGTGCTACCCATGGTTAATGATTTGCCTGTAATTACTTATATTCTGTTTTGGCAATGGACGTTTAACCCAATCCCAAGTCTGAAGTTTCTTTTATTTATTCAACTGCTCTTGCCATGGAGGAAAATTAAGGCTTCTGATTTGGTGTGGCATTTGAAGACCAATGAGCATAACTTGGAATGTTTGTTTCTTCCCTTTATTCTTCCCCAATTTCACACGAAAGTTTATTCTAGTGCTGGCAAAAAGCATACCTAACATAGTTTCAGCGTAAAATATTTGCCCACACTACAATAGACTTCTGCGTAAATGGGAGTATTTGACATTACAGTCATACTATACATGAACTTTTCATTTAATAATTTAAGCTTGTGTTAAAGTACTCTTTGGCGGCATAAACCTTGACAATTTCCTTTAATTAATCCTCAAATTAGTGGCCCACCTCCTTGTTGCAGTTGTGTTATTTCGTTCACATGGTTTTATTATGGTGATCTTGGGGTGAACAACCCATGGCAGAATGAAATTATTGAATTCATCAACAATGCTTATCGTGATTGGAGTGGAAATCGCATCGTGCCTGAATGCCTTGGAATGTCTAGAGATATACCTAATCGCCAAGAAGCTGCTCAACTCAAGTCATACCGCCCAAAAAATAGGTATACTTTTGTGGAGACAGAACAGTAATGATGATTAGATTCATTGATACAAAGAGCTTAACAACTGAGTTTCTTATGAAGGCATTTCATTAAAGATGAAGATTGTTCACATATTCTGGAATGGATAAGGACTGAAGAATAAAGGAATGGTCCCTTTCCTTTTGCATTCCCTCACTCTGGCCTCGATTTTGACATCATTGAAGAAACAAGAATGTGATAGAGCTGCTGTGTTTGCTGAGACCTATAGGAGCAAATTAAGAAGAAAAGGATATATGGGGCAAAAGATTATACTATAAAGAGACATTTATATTGACACGGTACACAAATATAGGTACACATGGATTGGTGCATTAAAGCCGGGAAAATAAGTTGGGTTTATAGGATCAGATCATTTATCTCAAATTTTTTAAAGATTGGGTTTCAATAATTGATTGTATGATCATATTTAAGGCTTGGGTCCATTAAGGCTTAGCCTTGAAAGGTATGGGCCTTTCATTTTTAATTTAATGTTGAATTAATTTAATTTAAAAAAATTATAAAATTTCATTGCTTAAGTTTGTTGTGTAATTTTATAATATAAATTTGAGATTATTTAAAAAATAAAATTCATTATGTAATGCAGTTATTTTTTATTGTTTAAATGGTAATAAGAATTTAAATTTAAGTTGTGAACTTTTATAGTACTTGTAATGTCTTGTATTTTTTATTTATCCTTTAAATAATTACAATTTAGACTTCAAATATTGTAATTTATATAATGTGGATGCTTGTTTCATGATCATGTTTGAGCTACCTGAAGGTTGCAAATATTTACTTTCTTGATATGTACCAAACCATGCCCATATAGGCCTTGACTCTTGGCCTTTTAAGTTCACTTCTTGGGCTTGTCTCTCCTTTGCATTAAAAAAAAAAAAAATCAGCAACAACAATGTATCACAAAGCTCTAAAATTTGATTAGAGATCACAAATATTAATGCGACTTGATGTATTTTTATTACATAGAACATAAATAATATAGTGATTGAATTGGATGTATCTAAAAAGTTCACTTGAAAAAGAACCTTTGTCAATGTAATAAGTGAAAATGTGAAATGTCCTAGACAATCCAATTTCCACCAAAATAAATTTGTGTAAATTAATTAAACTGATCAGAAAGTTAATAAAAGAATATCAAACATAGATTTATTGTCTTTAAAAATTGATTTGATTAGTATTTGACATGAAGAATTTTTTGCTTTGGACATAATCTTAGCAAACGTGAAAAGAGAACAATAGGAGAAAAAAGGATGGAGAAAAATAAGATGTATTGAGGTCTCAATCATTATATAAGCAAAGTTTTAAAAATCTGACACGTGAATTCTAAAGATAATAAAACTATATATAAAAAACAAATTTTTACTTATTAATTCTGCTTAATTCATACAGAGGAGACTGTATATAATATATCATAATGCATCAGTGAAGCAGCAGCACCTCCTAATTCTTCCCATTTCCTAAGAAATTATTAGTGTCAATTTTGAGAGAAAAAACATAACGCGTATAATTTACATATATAACATGAGTATTTAATTAATTTTAAACGCTTCATGTAAATTTGTGAGACTCTCAAGTCAGCGAGAGACACAGGAAAACACATTTTCTCCTCTATTTTTCATCTCTTCTCACATTGCATCGTTTAATTCGAGATTTGGATCTCTTAAAATGCATTTTACAGTGTAAATAAAAATAGAGAGAAAATAATGAGCTTCGCTTTTCTCATTATAGGTCACACAAAAATAAAACCTGCTTTTATTTCTCTCCCCCTTTACATACTAGATAGTTCTATCTCTTTGTTGCGACAGTATGATGATGTAACTATAAAGAAATAACGTATAGGATGGCTAAAGTTTTTCTGAAAGTGGGACCCCATCCATTTTCATGTCTCTATTTATCTCCTTGTGATAATATAATATTATATTTAAGATCTTGAAAGTGAAACAGGCTATTAAATTAATTAAGACACTAATTTAAAAGTTAACATTTAAAATTATAATTAAATTATGATAAAAAAAAACTTAGTCATCAACGAAGCATTTTTATTAAATTGACTAAATCACTGATTTTATAATTTACTAGTTCAACTAATCGAGTTGAGCTAGTTTTAAATAAAGTACACTTTAAAGATTTAAACATTAGCAGTTATGCCAAACATTGGTTTTGGCAACATTTGAACATGTTTTCAATCAAACACACAATCAATGAGATAGAAGAATCAATCAAACATTCGTTAATGTGCCTTTCCCCTTTTAAAATTGACATTGTGGATTTCTTGAGGAAACGCTCATGATCATGATCATCAATGATGCTGAGGATCAGGGCCCGCTGGAGAGACTCGGTCCAATCTTCCTTCAAGCATTGACCTGTCTGCATGATAATGACTGCTTCTAGTTCTTGGCACAATGCTCATCACCTGCCTCAACAGAAGTTGAGAGTCAATCTTTCTGCTTCTTTTGGAGGAGAAGATTAACATAGGGAACACCCTTGATGATTCTGAACTTTCTACCAGCAGTGAGAGAGCAACTACAACAATTAGAGCACAAATCAGTGACTTTGAAGGAGAAGCCATGACCACACACACTATAATGGCAGGCAAGCAACTTAAAAGACTTTGTTATGATTAGCACTGTGAGTTAGATGAGTGTAAGAACAAGGGACCTATTTACAGAAATTCAAGGTGAGAGAGGATGGTGATGAAGCTATGCTTTTTATAAGAGTCATGTGGGAAGTTCGTGCAAGCACGTTACTGTATAATTCAAACATTCCTGGTCTTCTCGCTTTTCCATGCATGTTGCTCTCTCTCTCTCTCTCTCTCTCTCTCTCTCTCTCTCTCTCTCTTCCCCAGAAGTCAAATTATTCAATTAAACTGGAGTTTTCACACGGGGTTTTTTAAGGAAATTCAAGGCCAAGATTTGAAGTAGAGTGATGGAGGTCCAGGTTTTAAAGTTGAGAGAAGTTTAATAAAGAACCCATGACTAAACTTATTTACATTTAAAGCCTCCAAACTTTTAAAATTTCACTGTAATCCAAGAATACTGATTTGATATTAAAATTTTTTAAAGAAATGATAAAATTGCCCCTCTTTTAAAATAATATCAAAACTTTCTTACTTCACTTATTAATTGCCCTACTTTATTTATTCATTTATTTACGAAATGTTCTTAATTGCTCTGCTTAACTTATTTTTATTTTAGGTGTTTAAATCATTTCAAGACAACTTGTTGATTCATATACTGTATGTTATTTATTTATTTATAGATTATTGATAATTGCTCTACTTCACTTGTTCATTACCAAACTTTTACTTAATTTTATTTTAGAGAAATAACAAATGAAATAAGGCAATTAACAACATTCGATAAATAAATAAACAAGTGAAGTAAATCAATTAACAAATAAAGTAAGGTAGACGTAATATTAATTTAGATGAAGGATAATTTTTTTAATTTTTCTCAAAAATTTAATATCAAATTGATACCCCGAAACTGTGGTGAAAATTTAAAAATTTAGAGACCTTGAATGTAATTAAGTATGGTCAAGGACCCTTTATTAAAATTCTCTCTCTAAAATTTACTCCTTGATGCTAGTTACAACATAAAGTTAATTAATTTAATAATTTTTAAAGAATGGTAGTTAATATTCTTAATTAAACTTGTAAAAAATGTTTGATTTTTTTAATTTTAACCTTCACTAAAATTAATTATCACAATAAAGTATGTCTAGTACTTAAAAGTTTACCAACAACTTGGTGTAATTAAAGAGAGATAATATAGGGAAAAAAATTTTACTATTCCATCTTTACATCTTTACCTAGTATTTATGATTAAATTGAATTTTAAAACTTCATCCTATAATTATGATGGTAAGGAATAGATTGTTATAGGAGAGAAGTTTTATTAAATACTCCTCTCAAACCATAATATACATTATTTTTTAAAAATTTTGCCTAATTCAAAATATAAATCATTGGATGAGTGTCATATATATATTTTTTCAATTACACTCTTACTTTATTGAGTGAGACCATTGTTGAATAACACCAAAATTAATAAAAATTAGATTTTATAATAAAGTATAACCTAGGTTATTTTTGTAAGAGTCAATGAATTAATTATTTGAATTAGTAAGAAATTTTTATGACAAAATTAATACAAAAATTAAATTAAAATTAAATAAGTAAAGTAAGTTTAATTAAGAAAATTAATATATAGTTTCTATTTTTTAAACTATTTTTTATTTCATTCTTTTTTATCATGTGTACCAAAAATTCTGGTAAATGTAGTGAAGATAAATGCTGATAAAGCCTATCTTTGTCATAGTGCATGAATTTTCATTGAAACCTCTTCTCAATCGAAGAGTTGTTAACAAAAGGAAGAGGATAATGAAAGAAAGACTAGCAAAGACAGACTAGCGTACGTTCATGTTGCAGATGGCGTCTGTAAAATTATCTAATAAATCTTGATTATGATTCTGCTTGATGCATGGTGTTAATATATATATATATATATATATAGACTCAACAATGTTTAAATTTAATTCAGTCATCTAGATGTATGAAAAAAAAAATTCAAGTTCTCCAAACATAGATAATGTGTTTCTATAAATCATAAATGCACAACTCTCCATTACCATTATTTTTGTCATGCTTGTATCGAGCTGCCTTCATCATCGTATGTGTTAAACAAATCATAAAACAACAATAACAATAGACCTTACCCTATTAAATAAAGTCAATTATATTAATTATATAATGCCATTGAACTCAGCGATGAATCCAGAAACAATAGTTTGTGGGAGCAAAATTTGTACATAAAATAAATATTAATATTAATATTATTAGTAAATTAATTATAATTTTTATTAAATTATATTAAATATACAATTTACTAAAATGAAATGCTATTAAAGAACTATACATAAGGTAGAAAATTATAATAACATAAAATAATATCTATAGAATTCTACTTTTTATTTTAATTAATAAAACTTAAGTCTTTCAACTTTTAACCAATAAAGGCGAGTTCAATTGATAAAAACTTAGTTCATGATGCCTTAAGATTTATCTCATCTAAACTTTTCTCTACCAATAAGATTTAACTCTTTTGTATGGTATATATATATATTTTGTGATAAAATTTTCAATTTAAACATACAATAAGGGAAAATTATTCTTTTAAGCTATTACTCCATTCTTTTTAAAACTCTTTCTATTTAAAGTTAAAACACATAAGTAAAGCCTAGGTCAAATAAACTTCTTAGAAAATTAGTGAAATTTTTTATGGGACCACATGAATTTTCTTTTCTTTCTTGAGTGGGAAGGGCAGTTAAAATTTTTGAATTGGAGGCAAATGAAATATTTAGAGTCACTATGTATTTTGTCCTAGGTTTGTGGGGGCAATTGGCCCCTCTATATTATAAGTAGATCCGCCCCTGATTATGTTATATCATTTATCAAACTTTTAAAAATATTATTAATTAAGATGTCTCGATCAATAATTTTTAAAAGTATTTTCTTTAG